CCCCCAAGTAAGGATGCCAACTCTGGGTTGGGAACCACCTGGAGATTTGAGGGTGCAGCATGGGTGAGTGTTTAGGGAGGAGAGGGACCCGCGGTAAGGTAGAATGCCGTACAGTCCACCTTCCAAAGGCAGCCATTTTCTCCGGGAGAGGTGGAACGGATGTTTTAAATAGACAAGTGATTTATGTAGGCGGGAGATCGGGTATAATTCCATGAGATCTCCTGCCCCCAACTAGAGGTCGGGAACCCTGCTCCCCAGTCCCTCCTTAAGTGCAAACATACAGTGGAAGTATCACGCCCCGCTGGAAATTCACAGCTAGCTTCAAGAGGGCCTTCGGATGCCACGGATTCCTGCCCTGGAGTTTGGGGTTGAAGCCTAACAGTGCAGCTAGGTATGGTGGTCCTCCCAGGCCCAATCTCCGAGCTGCATCGAACCCCTTGTAAAGGGAGGTAAAGGGCGCATGAAATGACCGCAGCATTAGAAAAGAGCGACTGTCCAATAGCACCTTAAAAGTCTAACAGGGTATGAGCTTTCATGAGTCACTGCTCGCTTCCTCCAATACTGCTAAGGATGGATCGGTGCCCATTGCTAGTCTTTAAGGTGCTCCTGGACGCTTGCTCTTTTCTGCCGCAACAGACAAACTAACGCGGCCACCCACATCTTGATCCATCACAGTGTGATGGAGTGCCGAACGTCACGCTCTCCCCCCCCCCAATCCCCCAAACAACTTTTGGTGGCTGTTTTTCTCCACGGGTTCCCTTCGGTCGTAGCGGCCCACTGAAATCAGAACACTTATTTTTTAAAACTAAAATTGTCATTTGGGTAGTGAGAGCACGGATAGGGAAAGGTTTCGCTCCTTTGCTGGAGCCGGGGGAGGGAACTCCCATGGGGGGGGGTTGTGGTTTGTGCGTGGACCTTCACCGAGGGTACCCCTTCAAGCAGAACTTTTGCAGCATTAGATACCAGTTAGTTGCAGAGGGCCGGCAGTGTAGCAACTAGATCTGAGTCCCACGTCACCCTCGAGAACAGCGAGATTTGCGGGGAATAAGCTTCTGAGAGTCAAAGCCAGTGTTCCCTCTAAGCTGAGTTAGTGTGAGCTAGCTCACGGTTTTTCAGCCTCCGGCTCACAGATTTTTGTCTCAGCTCAGGAAGGAGGGCTCCAGAGCACACTAATCTGTGCTGCAGCCAAATCGCCCGCTCACAACTTTAATGCCAGCAGCTCACAAAGTAGAATTTTTGCTCACAAGACTCCACAGCTTAGAGGGAACATTGGAAAGCTCCCAGCTCTCAACAGGAAGCATTTGCTGATTTAACCTCAGGTGTTATTTTATCATAGAAAAGCCAGGCATGCCTTTAGGTAAATAGATCTTGGGGCGGGTGTGTGTGTGTCTTGATGCTGGACGTTTGAAGTCGCCTTATACCAAACCAAACCCTTGGGCTCCTGGCACAGAACTGTCTGCTTTGAGCAGTAGCAGCATCGTTGGCAGAGGACACTCTTGCAGACGGAACCTGGCCGGGACTTTGTACTAGCAAATCCTGTGCTCTCCACCACTTCCTTCCATCCCCTTTTCTAACTGACATGGCTTTCCGTTGCTTATGAGCAGGACATATCCTGTTAAACGATCACATGCCGCTTGACCCTTGGAGCTTCTTATTATTGTGGCTACTGTCATTTATATGACCAATAACAACAACAACAACGTTGTTATTATTATTATTATTATTATTATTATTATTATTATTATTATTATTATTGTTGTTGTTGTTGTTGTTGTTGTTGTTATTATTATTATTGAAGAGATTGGACTTATACCCCACCCTTCACTACCCAAAGGAGTCTCAGAGCGGCTTACACTTCCCCTTCCCCTCCCCACAACAGACACCCTGTGAGCAATGCTCCCTCTAAGCCGTGGAGTCCTGTGAGCAAAAAATTCTACTCTGTGAGCTACTGGCATTAGAGTTGTGAGCGAGCGAGCTCTGGAAGATCTTGTGACTGACCCAAGGTCACACCAGCAGCTGCATGTGGAGGAGTGGGGAATCAACCCCGGTTCTCCCAGATTAGAGTCCGCGCTCCTAACCACGACGCCAAACTGGTGTATTATGTATAACATCTTTGCATACCGCCCTGAGCATTTGTTGAGCCAGTGGCGCAGAAGTCTTGGCTAAATAAAGGAGAGACATCCCAGAATAAGAGAACAAGCATCCACGCACGTGTGAACACTCTTTTATGCCTACCCCCCCCCATGTCTGCCAAGGGGTCATCTTAACCCTGGCCTGATTTCCAACAGGTCCAGTGCAAAAGCTTGTCCCAAGAGAGCTGTGGGGAGGAACGGCTTGGCTACTTGGACAGATTGCAGAGGTGCTGTGAGGGATGTTTGGGGTTAGTGTTTGGGGGTGGGTGGGCACCAATGAACCTCTCAGAAAAGTTACTCCTCTGGGGGTTCTCTTAAACAGTTAAATCATTGGATAAAAAGACAAAAAGTTTAGCATAACCGACTATGTTCAAAGTAATACTAGCCATTTAAGATTAACATTTATATAAGCCATTGTTATGATCGCCTATACTTGGGGTTTTAGTTAGTAGTGGTTTTCTTTCCTTTCTCCCTAGATGTAGTTACCCCTTCCCAATTTTTCGTTGTAGTTTGTAGTCTATTAAAAAATGCAATAAAAAATCCCCTCCGGGGGGCCTAAAAAAAGAAAAAAGAAAAGAAAAGTGACTCCTTCCTCTCCTCCCAGTAGTGAACGCCTTAACAGCTCATGCGTAAGTTCCACACGCTACTTACGCAACTGTGTGAAGAAGTACTTCCCCTTGTCAGTGCCCAACCTAATGCCAAGACTTGGCAAATCTTCATATTACAAAATGAGAGCATTCTGTCAATTCACTCTCGCCCCAGGGTTCGTAACTTTCCAGATTTCTATCTTAGAGACTTGCGCGCGAGTGAATGTGCGCAGGAGACAAAACGGCTGCATTGGGGCAATCCGGGTTGCGCGAGAACGCCAAGCAACGGACTGAGAGGTGCCATAGGCGATCTGGCCTCTTCGGTGCAAAAACTGCATTCAGGTGCAATGCTCCCTTTTAAGCTGTGGAGTCTTGTGAGCAAAAATTCTACTTTGTGAACTACTGGCATTAAAGTGGTGAGCGAGCGCTTCGGCTACTGCATAAATTAGTTGGCTCTGGAGCCCTCCTTCTTGAGCCGAGACAAAAATGTGTGAGTCGGAGGCTAAAAAACCGTGAGCTAGCTCACACTAACTCAGGTTAGAGGGAACACTGTTCAGGTGACAGAGACCCGTAAGTCACATCGACTCCTGGCTGGACAGAATATCCAGTTTAGGGTTAAAAAAAAATCAATCAAAACCAAGCCCCACAATAGATGGGGATGACCTCCTCCAAGACAGCCCCTGCATATTCAGCAGAAAGTAACTGTGTGCATTTCCCTGTCTGTTTCCATGCAAAATCTCGTAATCTGGGGGAAGGGGTGCTCAAACTGCCTGGAGTCTGGCTACAAAGGCATTCTGAACATGGTGGGTCTTACACAGGGGGCCACTGGGTACTCTGTACCTGAAACTGATCTTAGGAGACCTTTCTAGCTTCTGCAGATATGCGTGGGGATACAGTGCTGTCGTAATCGCATGATTTCTAACAATGACAATGACCGTTTTTGCAAATAGTTGGGCAGAGCTCGAAGTGCCAGCATTCAAAATTGATTTTTTTTAAAAAAGAGAGGCCAATGTTGTGCCTGAAGAAGAGGAAGAGGAAGAGGAGGAGGAGGAGATTGGATTTATACTCTGCCCTTCACTACCCAAAGGAGTCTCAGAGCGGCTTACAACCTCCTTCCCCTTCCCCTCCCCACCACAGACACCCCGTGAGGTAGGTGGGGCTGAGAGAGCTCTCCCGAAAACTGCCCTTGAGAGAACAGCTCTGAAAGAACTTGTAACTGACCCAAGGACACACCAGCAGCTGCATGTGGAGGAGTGGGGAACCAAACCCGGCTCTCCCAGATTAGAGTCTGCGCTCCTAACCACTACATCGAACTGGCTCTCTAAGAGAAGCTGCTGGAAACATGATCTTGATTTGAAAAACAAGTATCCATCAGGGTTTACATTCTTTTTCGTTTTTATAAACCAAATGTTACATTTTCTAAATATTTTTAAAGTAGCAATTTAAAAAAACAACAACACGCAACTATGCAAATTCCAGGAAGGTGGCTGTGGTATTGGTTTTTGTTTTAGCTGAACAAAACTTTTGTTTTAGCTGAACAAAACTTCCACTTTCAGAAGCCGGTATTGGTTTTTGTTCCTGATAGCTGAACAAAACTTCCACTTTCAGAAGCAGTATATCACTGAATACCAGATGCTGGCAACCGAGGAGGAAAGCCTTCCTAGCACGTGAGCACATGAGCTGCCTCTTGGCCACTCTGGAGACACAGCGCTGATGGACGATGGGTCCAGCAGCGCATGAAACATTTTGGTCCCCCCCCCACCCCGCACTATCGTGGATTTGGCAGCAAATGTGAGCTTTGGCTCACAAGAGCTCCTGCCGGAATACATTTTGTTACTCTCGAAGTTGCCACCGGGCTCCTGTTTATTTTGCTGCTGGAGACTAACATGGTTACCCCTCCGGAACGATCATCAGAGAATGAGAAGAGAGATGTCCCAATCCAGGAAGGCCATTCTCAAATGCTACCGACCTCAGTGAAAAAGTAACTCGTGGCCTGATCGCTCTGAGATCTGCGAGAATGAACTAGTTTTCATTTGCGGCGTGTGGATGGTTACCACTGACTTTCTTTGCTGCCAAGTCCGCCCCAAAGCTAGCCCACGTTTCTTTTCTGGAAACTGCCCCCCCACCACCAGAAGCAGTCGCTGTACAAATAAATCTCATAACTTCTTATGGTTCTGTACACCCCAAACAAAAGTTAAATGTGTCCCCCAATCAATATCGCTCTAGTTAACGCTTTCTGAAAACACGACGGTTCCGATTATTTTTCTCTCAGTCAACTTACCTCTGTGGGTTCATTATAGTACGAATTCCATTCAGAAAGGTCGTGCGATTCCATTTTGACCGAGGCCAGCATTCCAAAATCCCAGGAAAGGGGGTGGGGGGAATAAAGGAATCTGTGTATTTTAAAGCGAAATCCTGGATTCTCTTTTCTTTGGCGGGTGCTGAATTTTTTCTTTTTTTTGCCTTCTCAAAAATAACCTGTTCTTTTTTGTTTGGGGTTTTTTTGGGGAACTTGACTTCACCCCTCGGAGCAAAAGTCGATCAAGTGTGGTGGGTGCGCCTTCTGTCACCTTCTCAGAAGATGCGTGGTGGTCTTATGGGAGCAGACGCCTGCTCGGAAGAGAATGGCTTCAACAGGCGTCCATGGCGTAGAACGAAGCCAGACGATCCACCCAATATCTGGGCATCGAGTCCGCTGCAACTTCCGTCAGGATGGTTTCTGCGTGGCACCTTTTGCCACCGCCGCTGCGTGGACCTGGAGCTGGTCGACGTCCTTGCTTCAGCTTGTCTCCCAGGATATGAAGGGCTATCTGTCTGCCCAGAGCCAGGTCTTTATAAAGCCAGACACTTATCCCTACACTCCGCCCGCTGGATGGCAAGTCAAATGTTCCTACCTGGGCCCATGGTGAGAAGTAGGGAGCTAGGTTACCTCTGCCACCTGGTGGAGGAGAAGAGCTTGGCGAAGACCGGGTGTCGCAACCAAAACTGCACATGGCACTCTGGTTAGTCGCACTCGGCCGCCGCCACCAATCTTTTGCGCATGGAAATAGGGACGGGTTTGACACATCCCTCGAAGCCGCTGCCTGAGCCTCCTTCAACTGCTGTAGGTTGCGGAGGCTACCTCTGCTTGCAGTGGGCCTGCTCTCTGCCTCGGCCCGTCCTCCTTCAATTTAAAAGCAGAGGCAGAGTTTGTTAGAATCACAGAATCATAGAGTTGGAAGGGACCTCCAGGGTCACCTAGTCCAACCACCTGCACAAGGCAGGAAATTCACAAATACCTCCCCCCCACACCCCCAGTGATCGCTGTTAAATGCCCAGAAGATGACCAAAAACCTCCAGGATCCCCAGCCAAACTGGCCTGGAGAAAAATGGCTTCCTGACCCCAAAGGGGTGATCAGCATTTCCCTGGGCGTGTAAGAAAGGGCCACGAGAACTAAACACTGAGGCGACCCTTCCTGCCCTCCCCCTCCGGATCTGCCTCAGTTCACAGAATCAGCATTGCTGTCCGATGGTCATCGAGCCTCTGCTTGAAAACCTCCAAAGAAGGAGAGCCCGCCACCTCCCGAGGAAGCCTGTTCCACTGAGGAAAAAGCTCTAGCTATCACAGGAAGTTCTTCCTAATGTTTAGCCAAAAAACCCTTCTGATGTAATTTCAACCCGTTGGTTCTGGTCCGACCTTTATATGACAGCCCTTCAAGTACTTGAAGATGGTTATCACATCACCTCTCAGTCACCTCCTCTCCAGGCTAAACATCCCCAGCTCCTTCAGCCTTTCCTCACAGGACTTGGTCTCCAGACCCCTCACCATATTCATTGCCCTCCTCTGGACACCTTCCAGCTTGTCTAGATCCTTCTTCAATTGTGTTGCCCCAAACTGAACACAATACTCTAGGTGAGGTAGGTCTAGCCCGAGCAGAGTAAAGCGATACCATCACTTCGCATGATCTGTACACTATACTCCTGTCGATACTGTTGGATTCAAGATAATACTGGAGAAAAATAGCTGCTTGACCACATTACGGTACCAAAAATATTTCTGTCGGCCGCAGGACATGCATGTTACCTTAGTGCTCGTGTGCAGGCATTTATACACGTTTGCCCTAGAGCTGCATTCACTGCCCTTCTCAAATATGTAATTGCTACAGATCCTAAAGGTAAAGGTTTCCCTTGCTAGAAAGCCAGTCGAATCCGACTCTAGGGATGCGGTGCTCGTCTCCGTTTCCAAGCCAAAGACCCAGTGCTGTCCAAAGACATTCCCATGGTCATGTGGCCCTGGCTGGCATGACTAGACACCAAGGCGCATGGAACGCTGTTACCTTCCCACCGAAGCAGCACCTATTTATCTACTTGCAATTTCTTGTTTTCGAACTGCTAGGTTGGCAGGAGCTGGGGCCAGAGACGGGAGCTCACTACGACTTGCGGCACTCGGGTCTCAAACTGCTGAACTACCGACCTTCTGGTCTGCAGCTTCAGCGTCTTAACCACTTGAGCCACCGCAGCCCTTACAGATCCTAGGGAGTTAACAAAGTCCTAGGGTCAGAAGGAGCCTTACAGAATATCTGTACCTGATAGATGGCTGCCCAGCCTCTGGTTGAAGGCCTCCAGCAAGAGGAAACACACCTCTCCCTCGGCTAGATTCGAGTCCAGTAACACCAGAGAGACCAGCAAAACTATCAGGGCTATGAGCTGTTGAGATTCAAAGGGTGCTGATGAGAGGGCTACCGGACTTGAATCATGCTGCTCTACTGCAGACAAGCACGGCTGCCCTCTGATAATCAGGTAATCGGTTTGATTGCCAGACCACCGTAACAGTCGAGAAATTTCTCCCAACGGTCAACCAAAATAAGAACATCAGAAGAGCCCTGCTGGATCAGACCAGTGGTCCATCTAGCCCAGCATCCTGTCTCACACAGTGGCTGACCAGTTCCAACAACCGGGCAGAGAGGCCGAGGCCTTCATGAGAACATCAGAAGAGCCCTGATGGATCAGACCAGTGAGGGCCCATCTAGTCCAGCATCCTGTCTCATGCAGTGGCCAGCCAGTTCCTCTCGAGGGCCAACAACAGGGCAGAGAGGCTGAAGCCTTCATAAGAACATCAGAAGAGCCCTGCTGGATCAAACCAATGAGAGTCCATCTAGTCCAGCATCCTGTCTCATGCAGTGGCCAACCAGTTCCTCTGGAGGGCCAACAGCAGGGCAGAGAGGCTGAGGCCTTCATAAGAACATGAGAAGAGCCCTGCTGGATCAGACCAGTGGCCCATCTAGTCCAGCATCCTGTCTCACAGAGTGGCCAAGCAGTTTCTCTGGAGGACCAACAACAGGGCAGAGAGGTCAAGGTCTTTTGGCTTTTGATTGAGGACAGTGACGAGCTCTATCATGGCTGGCAACTCATCCTTTATTCCATCTTTTTCCTTCGGCCACCTTTCGGTCCTGCTTAGGAGGTGGCAACACAGTCCGGAACTGGTTTAAAATTTGATTCATAGATGCCATCTGGGGGATTGTATTTTTTTTTTTAAACTTTACTAAATGTTTGATATTGTATTTTATTTACTGCTGTGCATTGCCCGGAGCCCTGTGAATGTGGGAACTGGGCAATCCACAAATTAAATAAATAAATAAGAATATAAGAAGAGCCCTGCTGGATCAGACCACTGGTCCACCTAGCCCAGCCTCCTGTCTCACACAGGGGCCAACCAGTTCTTCTAGACGGCCAACAACAGGGCAGAGAGGCTGAGGCCGTCCTCCTGGCTCTGGGATTCAGAGGATTAGTGCCTTTTAATGTGGATGTTCCCCTCAGCCACCATGGCTAGCAGCCACTGATAGACTTATCCCCCGTGAATCTACCTAATCCCCTTTATAACTCCATCTATATCTGTGGCTATCACTACATCCTTGGGCAGCGAATTCCACATTTTAATCACTCTTTGTGTAAAGAAGAAGAGATTGGATTTATACCCCACCCTTCACTACCTGAAGGAGTCTCAGAGTAGCTTACAATCCCCTTTCCCTTCCCCCTCCCCACAACAGACACGCTGTGAGGCAGGCGGGGCTGAGAGAGCTCTTTGAGAACTGCCCATGAGAGAACAGCTCCGAGAGAACTTGTGACTGACCCAAGGTCACACCAGCAGCTGCACGCGGAGGCGTGGGGAATCAAACCCGGTTCTCCCAGATTAGAGTCCGCGCTCCTAACCACGACACCAAACTGGCCCTCAAGGAAGTATCTCCTCGTCTCTCTCTCCTGAATCTGCAGCCCATCAGCTGCATTGGATGGCCTCGAGCAATGTTCCCTCTAAGCTGTGGAGTCTTGTGAGCAAGAATTCTACTTTGTGAGCTACTGGCATTAAAGTTGTGAGTGAGCGATTTGGCTGCTGCATCAATTAGTTTGCTCTGGAACCATCCTTCCTGAGCTAAGACAAAAATGTGTGAGCCGGAGACTAAGAAACTGTGAGCTAGCTCACACTAACTCAGCTTAGAGGGAACCCTGGCCTCGAGTTCTAGTATTTGGGGAGAGGGACAAAAAGTTCTCTGTCTCTCCACTCCATGCATGATTTTTTAAACCTCTCTTAAATCCCCCCCCCCCCCCGCCCCTTAGTCGTCTCTTTCCTAAACTGAAAAGTCCCAGATTCTTCAGCCTTTCCTGCTAGGGAAGGGACTCCAACGCCCCTCATCCTCTTGGTCACCCCTCCGCTGTCCTTTTCCCAGCTCTAACCTCTTTGTAACCTGAACCCTTTAGATCTAATCTTGCCTCTGCCCTCTTCCAGAGGACGGCCCCCCAGGAAATGGGAGAATGTCTCCCCCCCCACACCTCTTCTCCAGACTGACCCTACCCAATCTCTTAAGCCATTCCTCGCAGGACTTTAATCCTCCACAAGGGGCCCGAACTCCGAAGTGTAAAAACTTCAGCACCTCACCCTGATGTCTGAAGGAGGCATCCCCCAAAGGCAAAAAAACGGGGGGAGGACAATTAAACAGGACATGGAAACAGGAAGTATCCCTTGGTAAATAGATTGCAGGGCCGGGTTGAGAGGGTGGTACACAGCTGGGCGCCTGCTGGAAATAGGAACCAGATGGCCAGCGCTTTGGTACCCCCACCGTGTTTCAGAAGATTGTCAGGAACAGCATACGGTCTGGTCCAGGGGAAGGGGCGTGCATGTCACCCAAGGGTCCCCTAAATCCTTGAGCTGACACGCTTGGGGGGAGGTCTTGCATCAGGAGGGCACGTGGTGGGGCGCAAAGAGGGGTTTTGGAGTTTCCAACCGTTCAGCCAGCAGCAGCGGCTGTGTCTCACAGGAGGGGCTCAGCGTTCAGATGTCGGCAGATGCTAATGTTGATCTCGTTCGTGGTGAAAAGCTTC